AACACCAAGTCAAGGGTTAAGATCCCCTTACCCGTCATCTTTTAAGAAAAAAAAAAAAAAAAACTGATTAAATAAGAGGGTATCCCAAAGAACATTATTCTGTTATGTCTCCTATGACTACTTCCCAATGTTTTGGTTTTGTAGCTTAAATAAAAGGATCGTGGAGAGAACAGCAAGATACTTATATTTGTAAAGGGTAGTGGCTCATTGAGGGGTGGTATGGTTAAAAAGCTTTCCATCATCTCCTGAATAGTATTAGGAATGATGAGAAGAAAAGCCTTTGATCAGAATAAATTTAACTTGCACAGAGCAAAGGAAAGAGGGAAGAAAGATAGGAAGCAGAAGCCAGAATTACTGGCTAAGTCTGACACATCAATCACATACCTGTGATATATTAATTTGATATGTGAGAGACATAATCTGTCTTGATACAGAAAAGCAACTCTTTTATTATGTTGCTATGTTTCTAAAAAGGGCAGAAGAATTCAAATAAATAGGTTTCTTTATGAAGCTCCCAAGATAAGGCAATAAGCAGACCTAGGTGATTTAAAACAACCTCTTTTTAGGGCTGGCCAGTTACTCACTTGGTTAGAGCATGGTGTTGATAACACCAAGGTCAAGGGTTCAGATCCCCATACCAGCCAGCTAACAAAAAAATTAAAAACACATAAACAGCCTCTTTTTAAAAAGAACAAGATGTGGGCCGGCCTGGTGGCGCACTGCTGCAGTGCGCCGCTTGGGAGCGCAGCGGCGCTCCCGCTGAGGGTTCGGATCCCACATACAGACCGGTTCCCGCTCACTGGCTGAGCGTAATAACTTCGTATAGCATACAGGTTAGAGCATGGTGTTGATAACACCAAGGTCAAGGGTTCAGATCCCCATACCAGCCAGCTAACAAAAAAATTAAAAACACATAAACAGCCTCTTTTTAAAAAGAACAAGATGTGGGCCGGCCTGGTGGCGCACTGCTGCAGTGCGCCGCTTGGGAGCGCAGCGGCGCTCCCGCTGAGGGTTCGGATCCCACATACAGACCGGTTCCCGCTCACTGGCTGAGCGAGGTGCGGGCGCAGCACCAAGGGTTGCGATCCCATTACCGGTCCCGGTCCGGTACGGGGGTGACACTGAGGGTTGCGGTCCGTTGCCGGACACGAAAAAAAAAAAAAAAAGAACAAGATGTAAAGCTTTTAAAAGGATAAATATGTTGGTTAAGAACACCTGACCACTGGCCAAGTCTGCAAAGAGTTATGTTCATGAATATGCTACATACTGCAAATTAGACACCATTAGGTATATATGTGAATACAACATAATTCTGAGCATGAAACATAAACCCTATATAATATGTGGCATGATATCTGTAAGATTTTCCAGGCTAAATACCATAATTATCTCTACCTTAATCAATTTTAACTGAAATTAAAGAAATAAAAATAAATGCACGTACCAGCCAACCACCACAAATAAAAAAATAAAAGCAATTTGTGTTTTGTTGATTTAAGGAAGAAAACTCTTTATGACTGACTTATCTCCCATATAGGATTTCCCATCTTCACTCTAAAATAAGTAGCGGAACTAAACCTGCTATGCATTGACGAAAAAACCAGTCTTATAGAGAAAAGACCGGAGTCCTCCAGGATTTCCCTGTTAATGTTAAGAGCCACTCCTCAGCAGTAGGGGTCTGAAAAATAAGCACTGTGAGATTAATAATCCTTCTGAAATAAAAGACATAAAAAAGGAAAGTTCATTCCCTAATTTCTAGGTTAGGTTCCTTCCAAAGCTTATACCACAGTATTTCACTTCAGAACTCCAGGAAACACTATGCCTGGAGAGCCACTTTCATCTGATCCCCCACCTCTCTTCTCTCCCAGTTTTATGCACAGCCATACCTCCCCTGGCATGTGGAACACACATACCCACCTTCCCTCCTATGGGCATTAAACTACATCCTCCCACTCAATTATGGGCCACAGTTCATTTTCCATTTTCTATTTGAATCCAAGAGGAAACTAATGACCTTCTCTCTGCTGTTCTGGGAAAGCAGAGCATATCCTATTTCATAAATTACATGCTAGTAACAATATGTGGATGGCTCACAGAAATCAAAGAGGTAAAGGAATGGGAAGTTATCTGGTGCCTGAGGTCTGTTTCTCCACCTGCCTCTACTGAAGGGTCATCAGAACCACAAACATTTCTTTTTCAAGAGGCTTCCTAGACACATAAAATACTCTGTGCTGTACAGTGAGGTCAGCACAATATAGTAGGCTCTAGGTTCAAATCCCACCAGCTGTTTGACCCTGGACAAGCTACTTAAAGTAGGTGGGCCTTGGTTTTGTCATTTGTAAAAATTTCAGTACCCACTTCCAGGGCTTGTGAGGAATAAATGAGAAAAATCTATATAAAGGCTCTAGCACAGTGTCTGTTACCCAGCAAGCACTCAATAAACACTAGCTACTATTATTAGACAAAAAGTAAAAGACTGGTTAAGTTTCAAAAAGTTAATCAGGTCTAAAAGGTCTAAATATAATATGAATATAATTTAAAATCACTACCAGTATTGGGAGATAACACAAAACTAGGGATGATCCAGCCAGACTTCCTTACATGCTACTTGACTGCTGATTTCAGATGTCACTTAAATATGAGATCACAGTACAGGAATACAAAGAAAATGTGAACAGTTCCTCTCAGCAATAAATCTAGGGTTATTTCATCTTAACCTTCTGACCCAAGATACTTTTCACAATAAAGTGTGAAGGTAAACTCTGCCCTCCTATCCACAGCTAGTAAGAAGAGTAAAGCAAAGCAGGGTGTCTCCCTTTGAACTAACAGGATTTTCGCCAAATGAAAAAAGACATTGGCCAGTGCCCAACCCCAAGAATAAGCAGACAGCTCTCATGACCAGGAAGTACAATCAGGCAAGCACCCAGTCTAGTCTCAGTTGTACATACATGGATCTCTTTTTTTTCTTCTTCTTTTTTTGATGGCTGGATGGTATGGTGAACCTAACCCGTGACCTTGGGGTTATAAGGCTGTGCTCTAACCAACTAAGCTAACTGGCTAGCCCAATGGATCTCTTCAGAGCCCCTATGTTTCATTTATAAGAGTTAAAGGACATTGCTTCTCAAGCTTGAAGCAGTGCAGCCCTCCCCACATAGCCAAATAGGCTGCTTTTCTCTCAGTCATAATCAAAAAGCTACTTCTCTGTGGGCCCATGACATGGTTTTAACAGAAAAAGGCTGACAACACACCAATTGTTGAAATAAATATTACAGATTTCAACACTGTTGCAGGTGACCAAATTCTAACCCTCCAGCCTCTGAGGCTACCCCCAGAAACACAAGACACTTTAACATCCTCTAGCTGGACACGCTGGTAGTCCCTGCAGCGATTTGGTTCATTCTTCTCATGTAGTACACCAAAATTCCACAAATGGGAGGTACTAATTTTGGGGGGGAAGAGATGGGGAGAGATTCCAAATGTTTTACTTGACTGAACAGCAAAGGCACATTCTACTGTAAACAAATCATACCACTATATTTTAGCTTTACCACTGTGAATGCTCTTTTGTTTTTGTTTTTGGTTTTGTTTGCAGCTGGCTGGTAGGGGGATGTAAATGCATGACCTTGGCATTACAAGGCTGAGCTCTAACCAACTGAGCTAACCAGCGAGCCCCTATAATTGTGAACGTTATAAAGGATATTTCTCAACTCTAGCACATGTCAGGAATACCCACCATACTCTAATACAGAGGTTCTCAACCAGGGGCAATTCTGCCCCGTAGGAAGCAGAAGGTAGAGGTGCCACTAAGCATCTTTCAACACACAGAACAGCCTCCCACAACAAGGAATTATATGGCCCAAGCCATCAATAATACCAGGGCTGAGAAACCCTGCTCTAACACAAAAGCCGTCTCATTCCTGCCCCACACCTTGGGGAAGTTCCAAGTTTTCACTGCTCCCAG